AATCACTATCGAGAGATTCATCATAAACTTGAATTAATTATTCGTATTAATAACCAAAAAAAAAAAAACTGATACAAAATAGAAGCGATTGATTTTTCTTAACAGTTTCCCCTAATACATTTTTGATTCGCGCTCCCATCCGGAAATCGGTATCCATAATATTTTGAATGCAATCACAAGGAAGTACATACATCGGTAAAAAATCTACACGAATAATTTTTCAATAACGGAGTTATGTACATACGACGGACGTATTTTTTACAGTAGATGATTTATTAACTGAATATTACGTCAATATGCCTAGTGTATATTTTATGAACGATAAATTTGCGCGACTTCGGTGGATTTTGCGTAGATCCGGCAGCGGATATTTCGTAGATTGGAGATAAAATAAAATTTGATTCACATTTGTGAATATTCCCTTACGGAAAAAAGTTATTGGCAAACATTAACGAATAAATGCCGCTAATATTCCTCAAATGTTCCTCTAAAGCTGTCGATAAAGCCCATCAGCGCGTTTATGATCGATGGCAAACTAACATATATAACAATCTCTCTCTCTCTCTTTTTTCACCTAACAATAATAATTTATTGTTGTGTTCATTTCTATTATTTTTAATTTTTGTTACAAACAAATAACGATCTTTGCATACAGAATCTTCCATCTGTCTCTCGTATGTGAAATACGTAATTATTTGACACCGTCTCTCTTTTTTACGACAAAATTAATACACGACTTGTGTAAATAATAAGATACGATAACGCGCGATCAACACAATGAAGCATTTCTTTCCCGTGGCTAAAAAAATTGCAACACGTAACTCTGTCATGCGTTTATGCGCAATGTAAATGTGCAAAGTATACGAGCCGAAAAATCAATTAATGATCTGTGCATGCTCGAAAATTTTCCTCGCCGCGGTGGTTCTTCCCGTATCTAGTTTATGCCACGATAAACGTGCTTCGAAGTCGACGAGTCGCGCTTCTCATTCTTGTCTCCTATCGAAATTATCGGCTAATTGTCGTCGCAAGACTCTCGCATGGCGCGCTCGCGGTGAGCCGCGCGACAATTTCTTGTTTGTCTATTTGTCCCGTGTAAATAAGTGCTCCGCGGGGTCCCTACTTTCGTCGCGCAAACAATACGGACGCGTAGCCGTCACGTTTTCGCGTTTTCACCCTCGTCGGGGCCACCGTCTACCTTCCTCGCGATGCCCCGCGAGCGACGTACGCGCCGTGGACCGCGAAAGTTATCGCTTCGGCCCGCACGAATAATAAATCGCGCGCGCTGATTACGCGCCCGCGAGCGTTATCATCCCGTTCACGGGGGGAAGGTCTGGAATTCGCGAGACGCCCTGCTCGCACGGAGTGTTAGGGCCTGAGCAGAATGACTGTCTTCTAATCTTAAGACAGCCTTACTCTCTAAAATTTGTGGAGTGAAAATACTGCCGTGGAGTGAAATGTTTACTCCATTGGAGGAAAGATTCACGCCAATAGGGTGAACATTTCACTCCGTGGCAGTATTTTTACTCCACAAATTTTAGAGAGTAAGACCATGTTTTATGTTTTAAGCCCTTGTCTTGAGGTAACGCGCAATAACTGTCTTACGTCTTAAGAATACAAGACAGCCGTTCTGCTCAGGCCTTAAGACAGTTATTGTGCGTTACCTCAAGACAAAGGGTTAAAACATAAAACATTGTCTAAGGTTGTCTTAAGAGTACAAGATAGCGCATTCTGCTCAGGCCCTTATTGTGCGTACTTTAAGATAAGGATTTGCAACGTAAAACATTATTTTGAGAGACAAAATAACCGTTCTGCTCAGGCCCTTACATTTCACACTCCTATCTCTTCTAGAGAAGACGAAAGGTGATATCATAGTCTAACTAGTAGGTCTACTCCGTGGACACAACAATGAATTATTATTAGAGGAAAAAAGAAAGAGAGATTGTAATATGTGTTAATTCTAGCATCGTGGACGCAGACCTTTAAGCCTTGTGTCCAAGTTCTAGTACCGAGAAATATGTACTCTGACAAAAAAATTTTTCAACTAAGTAAATATTTATTCTATTTAAATAAAAATATCAAATTTAAAGTAAATCTATGTATTATATTAAGTAAATTAATTGAAATCCCTACATTTTCTACATTCAAACAAAAATTTCACGAGATATAGAATATTATTTATTAAATGAAATAATTGTTTTTGTTAAATAAGAAATCCAATTTTCTTCGCGGTGAAAATTAGATCTTGGTACACATTTTATAGAATTAAAATAAAATTTTTTAAATGTAAAATTACCTATTCTTTGATATTTAATAAATACTTAAAGCAATGCATGTTTTAATTTATTATTTTTTAAACTCAAGTCAATAAGCTATTAGAAGCCACCTAACGAATAATTTTCTTGAGTAAAGTAACATTTCTTTGGATCAAGATATTTCCTTTATCAGTGTAGCCAGTCGACTCGCAGCTATTCCGTAAAAGCTGCAAGTTGACTGGCTACACACTTCACGGAACTAGAACTTGGGCAAAATTCTAGCATCGTGAACGCGGACCTTCAAGCCTTGTGTCCACGATCCAAGATCCGTGTCCAAGTTCTAGCGCCGAGAAATAAGTAACCAGCCAACTCGCGGCTATTCCGCAAGAGCTGCAAGTTGATTGACAAGCCTTTAATAATGGCAGAGGGGTTTATCTCTGCCGTCTCGGTTACCGAGGGATTTATTTTCAATTAGATTATCGCGGACGCGGGATACAGGGAAATCACGACCGGCGCCTCGCCGACAATGCCCGTCGTCCTCCCCTCCCCCCTCGTATAACATCGCCGCCCTTTCTCCACGGCAATCGAGCCGCGACAATGCGAACAATGGCCGAGGCGGTCCGGCGTGACCCACGCGCCGCTTAATATCGTCGCCGATAAAGGAGCCGGGGCGATGTTTTACAAACAGCTATGCGCCACGCGCCGCACCCACCCCCTGTCAAAACATTCCGAACGGCCGGTGTGCCGGTTCGACGATGGGGTAAGTCACGTGCCGCCCCCTTCGTCTTCCCCCGAGACGGCACTGGGAAATTACGTGGGCCCCGCGGTCTTTGGGAACGGAGGAGCGCGGGGGGGCTGTTCCGCTCTCGCGGGATATTGCGGAAACGGATCGGCCAATTTTGACCGGACGAGTTGCGGCACAGCCACACACGCTGCTTAGCTTACTTTCCCCGAGAAACCTGAGGGGAAAACCGCTGAGGGCATTGTGGTGTTACAGATTTGCGGAATTACTACACTGAAAAAAAAAGGCCCGATAGATTCAACCAGTCGTCTGTTAGAAAATGGACGAATCAGAATTCCTTTCGGATTTACCATGAGAGATATTTCATGACCAGAAGTCTGCTAGACCTGGCTACAAATCTGGTAAATCCTAAAGGGAAAATTCTGATTTGTCCATTTTCTAACAGGCGACTGGTTGAATCTATCACTTTTCTTTCCAGTGTAGGCATCTTTTGAGCATTAGTTTGGGCATCAGGCCTTGCTGGGACATTATAAAGATAAAACGGGATAAATAAGACAAAGTAATGCCCACCGGGCATCAGCGGGCATTGGCGTACAACATTTTGGTCAGCGGTTTTTCCCCTTCCCTCGGAAAATCCCGATTTAATCACGATAAATTGTCGAGTCTAAAGGCTAGTCTACAATACATGGAGTAAGCGTGGAGTAAGCGTGGAGTAAGGAGTAAGGGAGAGCCCTAAAGGCTGGTCTACAATACATGGAGTAAGCTGGAGTAAGGAGTAGGAGTAAGAAATAAAATGGATTTATTTCCTTACTCCTACTCCTTACTCCAGCTTACTCCATGTATTGTAGACCAGTCTTAACACAATCATTCGTGGAAAGACCAAGTTATCTGCACTGTCTTATACAATCAACTTGAAACGTGCACCCCTGGTACACGTGTATCCTACATTCTGTGCGATCTGTTTCTCGATCGCCTGCCCGGTTAGAAAAAGATGTGCAATTGCCAGGTACTTACAGGCACGACGCGCAGCGGCGGAGTTGGGTCGAGCTGTAAAACACAAACGCACGCGGATTACAACGACGCCCAGGCAATAAGTAAGCGATTCGGGAAATAAGTGCAGATTAATTCTCAAGTGACGGGTGAAATATGAAATGTAACACTCACCTCACGGTTGCTCCGCCGTCGCCCGATGCCACCCAGACCTCCTCCTCCTCTCGGATTCCGTCGTTGCGCGCACAAACACTAGCGCACACACACACACACGCGCGTCGCGGAAACACGGTTAGACGATCGTGCGGCGTTTCGTACGGCGCCCTCGGTATTAACGGCTTCGCTTTATTACGTCGCGACGCGGCAGCAACGCGAAATAGGTTAAGCGCGAAGCCGCGCGCTTCGATCTCGCGACGGGCGAATTGCGAACGGCGGAAAGCCACGGCGCACGTACGCGAGGGTTCGCATTCGCGCGGCACCGAATCCCCGGATCGATCGCGACTCGTCGATCAAGTCCGCGTCCGCGACGAAACGGTCGAGTCCGCGGCACCGGCCGCGACGAGACAACAGCCACGATTTCACCGTCTCTTCTGCGATTTGCGTCCGTCGAAATACCTGAGGGAGGAATCGTCGTCTCGACGGTCGGCGGACACGATCGCGGCTCTTCGAGGCCCCAAGCCCGCGTTACGTTACGGTTCGAGATTGGCCAATCGGACGGCGAGCCGCTTCGGCTCCGGGCTCGGTTCTCCAATTCATTCGAGAGAGGAAAGCGCGCGAAAATTCTGCCCTCGCGGAAAAGTCGACGGCCGATTGGCCGAGAGCCACGCGGGCAGCCAATCGAATTCGCGCGTACGTTTCTTCTTCTGACGAGTCGGAGAATCGAGCCGCTGGTTGATTGGTCGATCCTGTCCGCCAACGAGCTCGCGAGACCCGCGATGTAAAACGGCCTTAAGGGTCAGGAAGACGCCGCCGCCGCCGCCGCCGCCGCCCGCCCGCGTCCGCGTCCGCTCGCGATCTGCCGCGCGAAAACGATATTCGACAATAATTACGCCAAGTAAAGCGTCTCGTCACGGTGAGTATTTCAATCGTTACGCGTCCGTTGCTCGAGTTATTCGCGCGACGGCTCGCGTTCAACTGTTTCACTTGCCCCGCGCCCCGCGAAGCTAGTCGCGCTCACTTGTTCTACTGTACGCGCGCACATCCGCATTGTGCCACGCGACAAATACTCGCGTCCGCGGGCGTCCCGAGGGAGAAAGCGAAGCGCGTATGGATACAAGGTAATTATTAAATATACGCGACGCTTCGTGATTCCCGTCCGCGCCTCTTGTCGTCTCGGCGCGGAGGGAAACGGTCGAGCGGGCGACACCGCGGCGAATGTTCGTCGCCTCACGGTTGTCGCGAGGGAAAGCGAGCGGGGAAGCTAACGGTAGTAGTTTAATCGCGCGTGGAAAACCGCCGCCCCGCGTGACCTGCCGCGATCGCGTCTTGCGAAGCAATAACTGCCGGCGGCGCGGCGCGGCGCGTGACTCTGCCCGCCCTTGAGAGCAACGGTCGCGCGAGAAAAACAAGGTGACGTACGCGTGACGTATATACGCATACCGTTTCGCTCCAGCGAAAGACGTGCGCCGCGCGCCAGCGAGCGTACCGGCGCGCTACAAAATGGACGCTCGCCGAATATTCTGCCTTCGATCGAGCCCGGTAAGTGGACTTATTTCTCTGGAGGGTAAAACTCACTTTCGTTCCGAAGACTGACCGAAACAATTAATTATGTATCAAGCGCGATTCTTGTGCATTGACTGGAGCGTACTCGATGTCGATTACGGGGCTCGTCGCACGGTCGTTTTGTTTGGTGCTGCGGGCGTTTAATTGAATATCTCGCGGTGAATTTGTGATAATTGATCTTCTCGAGGCAAAGGATATATTTTGTGAATTCGTGTTTGGCGATCGAGCGAAATGCTGTCGGCTCGCCGAACCCGGTGAGAAATGATTCGTCGATCGACGTCGAAACGACGCCGAATCGACATCGACGCCGTCGAATTGACGTCGATTCGACATCGTTTCGACGTCGATCGACGGATCATTTCTCACTGGGAATGTTCTGCCTTCGATTTGGTCCCGGTAAGTATAGACTGTGCGCGTATTAAACGTGGTCCTTTTGTCCGAGGAATAACCGAACGTTATTTTTATATATTATTTATGTATCAAGTGCGATTCTTATATTGACTGATTGTGAGTGTACTCGGTGTCGATTACGGGGCCTGCGGCACGGTCGTTTTGTTTGGTACTGCGGGCGCTTAATTGAATCTCTCGCGGTGAATTTGTGATAATTGATCTTCTCGAGGCAAAAATATATTTTGTGAATTCGTGTTTCGCGACGCTGTCGGTTCGCCGAATGTTCTGCCTTCGATTTGGTCCCGGTAAGTAGACTGTGCGCGTATTAAACGTGGTCTTTTTGTCCGAGGGATAAAACTTTCCTCTCGAAGAATAACCGAACGTTATTTTGATA